TTCTCGTGTTGTTCGAGGGCAAGAGTGTCGGGGGGCAAGTGACTAGGGTCTCCCTGACTTGGATTCGACCGACTTGATATGGGTCGATGTTCAAAATGGTCTTGCAAATGATACAATGTAGGAGCATGTGTTGCACCGTGTGCTTCTGAGTTCGATGCCGTGGTAAGTACGCTGTTGGGAGAGGCACGTGTGGTACCTGGAGAAGAACTCGACAAATGAGGGGTACCGAGGTCAGGGGCAGGGAAAGGGGGGGTTGGATCCGCCTCAAGTTTCATATCTGCGCGGCATATGTCCATCAAAGGACCAGAGAGGGAGGATGAGGTCTGGTCAGAGCTAGTCCTGGAGCTGGAGATGCTCATAGGGGGGGCAAAGACCATCTGCGCAAGAGGCCGGTTCGTTGAAACAACCGAAGATGATTCAGAGTAAGAGGGCCCCATTAGCACAGCACGAGGTGCATGTGAACTACCCGACGATGTAAATGGTGTAATGGGATACAGTGTATCCTGTCGACCCTGGGCCAAGTCTGTTGTCATGAGAAATTGAGGAAAACGACCTCGGCTTAGACGAGTCTGTCCATACAATGGATCAAATCTTTCTTTTACCTGATGATCAATGTTCCTAGCCCTCCCTGCACCGACGTTCCCGACATTGTTACAGAATAGGCCGAGTTGGGAGCCGTCCATAGTCCTGCCAGGGATGCTACGGACACCCACCCCGGCGAAATTGACGGTAGCTGACTCAGCCTCACTAGGGTGGGCCATGCACAAGAACTCGTTCAAATGATTGTAGGGCGACAGGTGTTTGTTTGATAGCTTGGGCGTGCGGGATATCCCCTTTGTCTGTGCACAAGGGCGCGTGCGTCAATGGACCTTCAGGGTCGCTCCCTCCGCTTCTTGCAGCAGGCGCACGATGTGTAAACAGCGGCCCAATCAATCACATGCCCAGTCTAAATAAAAATGATGACCCTGTGATGCGTACCCACGCATGTCACGCTGTACATTGTACAGATAAAGTGCATGGCCATTCCTAGTGTGAAACATATGGACAGGGTTTCAGCTACCTGACTGCTCATAACGACTACTTACTCGTTAGAGTTTTTAATCTGAACCTCGGATTCCTGCAGGCGGTCTTCATTAGAATACACCATGTTCAGTGCTTGTTCTTGAGTTGTTGTGTCTTCGCCTTTGGAGCGTTTTTCATCAAGCGTGAAAGTCTCAGAGGGTAGTGTGTTGGCAGGCGCGCTTGCAGGCGTCGCCTCAGCTGAAGTCTGTGTCGAATTCTCAATAGGCACCTGCTGTGAATTGACAACAGAAGAGGAAGGCTCTTGCTCGGAAGATAAGCCCTTCAAGCTCGAGACACGGCGGTGGCCAGCACCACCGGGAGTTTGCTGCAGACTGCTGGTGGTATTCGCGGTATGACTACCGCCTGTTTCGAGCGTCTGGTCCAGTCTTCGATCCATCACAAAACCTGAGTTGACAGCGGTGCGCACAGGTGGCTGCACGCCTTGAGAAGAGTAGTGAGCATTAGAGGGGCTAAAGGCATTGGGCTGACCGCCCTGTTGTGAGGGCGCAGGCATGGCAGAGGCCTGGTGCTGGTAGTGGGCATGCGCAGGGTACTGATAGTGCAATGATGCCTCCGTTCCACTGCTGGTCGAGGATGGATCATGAGCTGCCTGTTTTGTGATGGCCCAGTGGTTGTTGGAGATGCCCGAGTGGCTTGGGAGACTCGCTCCCATGTCACCACTACTCATATCTTTCACAGATGTGGAGGATGAAGTGGGCATACCATAGTGGCGATGAACCTGGCGCTCTTGCGCCGCAGCCATAACGGCAGCCGTCCTAGGATAATTGTCAGGGTGATACAAAAAAGACTGAATGTTGGGTTCAAAGAGAGGATATAGAGCATCTGCGATCCCGTGCTGCTCGGCTAGTTGCTTGCCACGATTGAACGCAATCCAGACTCCCTTTAGATGCATGGCTCCCACCTTGACAACGATTCTCTCCTTTTCGTTTTTCAAGATGCCGTCACGCTTTCCACGAGACATGCCGCAGACATTTAGTAGCTTTGTTCCATTGACCATGTTGTTATCATGGCGACGAGCCACACAAACACCCTTGACATCGACTTGGAAGCACAGCGTGCCTTCGTCTTCCCATAGAGTGGTAGTTACACGGTGCCGACCCCCAAGAGGAACAGGAGTACTGTACTGAGGAGCTGCTCCGTATGAAGTAGGCATCATAGGGCTGGGTGTCATGCTAGGATTGGCCGCAGAATTTCCTCCGGTCGCACTAGCCATAGCAATGGGAATGGCCTGGGCATGATGGGAAGGCATGGGCCCCGCAGAATGAGGCGCATAGCCACCATGCGAAACCATGCTGCCCATCATGGGTGTGTGGTACGCAGGGGTGGCAGCCGTGCCTGGATAGTGGGGGTGTCCATAGTGGGAGATATGCCCAATGTAGTTCGGATAAGGTGCATAGGCATGTCCCGAGTAGGAGGCACTGTACATGGGATGCTGAGCTGCACCGTACGCAGCGTATGGCGACGCCATTGGTGAAATCTGCGCTCCTGGGAACGCCCCAGCCAAATGATGAGGCGCTTGCGGAACACCCTCCTGGTAGAGTCCTGCTCCAGAGGCTTGGGCAACATGCGCATCAGATCCGCCTAAGGCCGATGCAGAATGATTATGCATGGAGGCGGCATTGCCATGAGCAGCAGGAGCCTGGGCAGCATGCACCGAGCTTGCATTGTATTGTGATGTAGCCGCGCCAGAAACTGATGGGCTGGCAGTCGACATGGTGAAACAGTCAAGTTAGGCCCTATGAATGAGGGCGATTAAGCTCGCAAGGGGGAGAAGGGGCCTTCTGTTATGCAGCTGATGTGGGGGAAAGTGATCAGCTTTCCAGGTACGCTTACCCAACACCGCTTCCTCCCTGGTTGAGGAAATGTATGTAGAGACGATGCGATGCGGGTATCGTTTGCAGGCATACACTTGCACTTGCATTTTGCGTGGCTACCGGGTAGCGCCTGCAAGCCCAGCGAATCATGACGCGAATGGGTGCTAGTAGCCTGCCAGCAATGCATCAAGTCCACGTGATGCAGTAAAAAAACGGATTGTAGTCCGATCATGTAATCTACTGTAAGTGTCAGGGCCCATGCGGATGCGAGGCGCATTGTGGTAGTGCTACAAGCTGTATCTCCTAAACCCTGATAATTATGGTAGATGAACCACATTATCAGGTCGGTGCGACCGCTTCACCAGCGGAAGTTCACGAGGTGCAAGAAAGAAAGTTAGAAGAAGAAAATAGCACTGGAACAAGTGCTATGGCTGCCGAAGAACAAGATTCAAACTCGAATACTGCAGTAGCTGCGGACTTGGATGCGCAAAAGGGAATGGACCAGCCCGCAGACCAGTCAAACGTTGGTATTCAGGAAAATGGTGATCCCGGAATGAATAAGGAGGAAGCTGGAAACAAAGATGCTGAGAATGAAGCACAAGAGAAAGATGATGCTCAGCAAGCTCGGCAGCAAGAATTGGACCGGCTACTATGGCTGTACGTATCATTGATCCTTGCTAATATTACAGTTCTCTTCCTGGGAATGACCAGGATAATTACTATTCCGACTCGGATGCTGAAGATGAGACAGCCTTTATGTCGATGCCAGGACCTTCGCAATATACGAACAGAGGGTGCAAGCTGCACACGAGAGATGGCATAAGGTGGGCCCATCGTGGAAAATTGGGGACGTGGACAGAGCCTAGGAAAGAAGCTGAGGTATGTGGATATGAAGTTAATGTCGCAGTGGCATGAGAGAGAACAGCGGAGAATGAATGCATTCCAGCATGCCAACGTGGATGCCTTGCTAGAAACGGAGTCAATAATCCCGGGTGGTATGGGGAGTATTTGGAGAGAAAGAATACCCTCAAAGCGTCCATCGCCACAATCTAATGGCGCTCGGAAGCAGATACGCACCCGTGCCTGGAATCCAAAGAACCGTGATGAATTTATTGATTCATCCTTGGGCAATAAAGAACTTTCTTATCTGAACGGCTCCTCTATGGCTCTTCCGATGCTTGTGCCAGTTCTTAGTGCGCGTGAATTGCTGCAAAGCGAGCTTCTCAAGCAGACATTCAAAAACCCTCACCTAACTGCCCTCAACCGAACGGCACTGAATTTGCTGGAAAGTGAGCATACCATGAATTGTGCACTCGGTCGTTGTTTCAGTGCTATGGAGCGCATCTTTGATGCACCCATAATGGAGAGTCACACGGAGAGTGATAAGACAGCAGACCCGCAATCGCTCGAGCCAATGGACATTGTACCCCCTCTTGTTCATATCAATGACTTGTTCATCACGAAGGAAGGCCTTCATGTTCCGTTGGAGTCTTCTGATGAACCAGACAACACAAGATTAGTTTCTGCTGAGGAGCAGCAAGAGATTTTGCATGCAAGCCTTGAATCATTAAACGAATTATACGCGGACAGTCGTGAGTATATGGAGCAACTCGAGGAAGTGCGGCTTTTACTCGCTGATGTCCGGCGGAATAGAACCCATATGTGGGATATTATACGCCGTTGGGCATTGCGGCGTGAGAATCAAGACTATCAAGCAAGCCAACAATATCGACGAAGCCGGTCGGACATGCAAAAGAATGACCACGGGAGCAAATCACATGAGTCAGTACAGTCGGATGGTGTGGTCAACGCGGAGATTCGAACAAATTCCAATCGCCGTGATTGGAACAGTCCTTCTAGTCGAAGTCGAGGTAAAAAACGATCTGGTCGATAGCGTGTAAGCATTAATGCCGCTCGCTGCCCTAGAAAAGACTGCAAAAGAATGCTTCCGCGCCGGGAATTGAACCCGGGTCTGGGCCGTGGCTGTCGTAGTGACAAGGCCCCGTCATAGCCACTAAACTACGCAGAAGTCCTCTACAATGCAATCGAAAGGTTGGCTTACATAAATACGGACTAGATAAAATGTCACACGACAAAAAGAAGCTTCCGCGCCGGGAATTGAACCCGGGTCTGGGCCGTGGCTGTCGTAATGACAAGGCCCCGTCATAGCCACTAAACTACGCAGAACTAGTATGCACCAAATAATGAGTTAGAGATACAAATACACTGCATACTTCCTCGTCATCAGATTTTTCAAGCTTGTTCCATGCGCCAGGTACCTAGTGAAAGCAGATCTCCCGTAATACCATCTCTATCAATGTTTGTGGTACTGAAATACTTGAGCATATCTAGAACCTCAGCCTTTAGTGACCTTGCTTTATAAAAATAAGAAAAAAAATGAAGTCCTACAGACGGCTGAACACAATAACGGGCAGAAGCGCCGATTTCTGAGATAAAGAAGCCCACGAAAAAAGGGGGAAAGAGCTCATGTCATCCTTTTCAAGGAGGGAAGAGCTGCTTTAAAGGCATGTACAACGTCCGGACAGTAGGCCGTGAAGTAGAACGAGGCTATGAGAGAAAAGTAAGGGCCGCCTGGGGCTCGAACCCAGGACCTCATCTTGAATCCCTTTCGTAGGAGAGACGCATTCTACCAACTGAACTAACGGCCCTTAACATCTGATCAAAGTAGGGTAGTTGGCCCAAAAACAAACGGAAAAGTAGTTGGCCGTTCCACAAAAAAACGAGCACGGAACTGCGGTCAGGCGTCAAAATAGACAGACATTCGACAATCTGTCTCCCTGTCATCATCACCCCCGGCAACTGGGTGTGAGATATGGATACTTGGTCCCAGAGGAGAAAGAAGAAATCATCGTCATTATCACCCGTATCGTCGGACAGCAGCAGGGGCCATGACAGAAAGGTGACTTCTACCCGGTCTGAACCGCCAACGCCACGCCGTCATGTATTTGTGAATTCTCCGTCACAAGGAAAAGGTATTTTGCTTCCACCAGCGGAATACAAACCTAGCTCTCAACGCAGTTCGATGGAAGAACCTCGGAAAAGTCTGCAGTTCCACGTCCCACTGGACAACTCTCGTCCGGGGACCCCTACTAAGATGGTATACCAATCCATTGACTGGGGTTTGTTGGGCATTGGCCGCCATGGGCCTCGTCAAAAGTATATCATAACGCTATTGTATTGGCCGTCCTTAACACTTTATACGTGGCCGCTAGATCCTAGATCACCTTCTGGCCAAGGAGCCTGTTATATTACTGCTACACAAGGTTCAAACGCGTCGTCGAGCTCGGATGTGGTCAAAACGAGTCTAACTGTGCTGGAAGATGCCGTCCGAGCATGGATGCAGCAGGGAAAACCTCATCGTGTGCATCCTTCTGGTTGCCTGGAGGTGGAACACGCCGATATTGTGCGGGTCTGTGAACGACTGAACTTGACCTGTGCGACCGAAGAACAGCGCAGTGAATGGCTGCAACGCCAGCAAGTCCCGGATATCCCAAGCTCACAGCCTTCCTCTAGGGCCTCGACACCTGCGGCAAGCCCAGGCATTTGACAATGTAAGTGATGGCACAAGCCCCATGGCACTTGGCATCCTGGGCACCAGACTCTCCTATGGTAGCCCCCCTGTACAGTGTAATTCATGCCCAATTTTAATCAAAGCTAATGAAGAGACAGCTATAAACGCAAGGGGAGGGGGATATTTGACCAAAGATGACATCACCTTATAGTGTCTCACAGAAGGTGCAAAGTCCTTCCTTAGAACCGTAGGCAGTGCCTTGCACTGCGACTGGCACAATGATCAAAGCGAGGAAAACGGCCCAAGCGAAAAGGAACACAGCCGTGTATCGAAGCACAATAGAGCGACGCTGGGCGCGTTGACGCAGAGAATAGATCGGAGCGTGGATTTGCTTCGAGGGGCGCAGCCAGAATAGGGCGGTGGAATGCAAACGATCCACAAAGGGGACCACCAGGGGGATGGAGAGTGCAAACATGAGAAGATGTGTGGTAATGAAGTCCGCTGTGAAGATACTCATTTCCATAATCTTCACAATGTACTCCCGTGCTGGCTGGCTAAAGGCATGGCCACCGAGACCGCGGCCGTACCAGCGACCAGTCCACCATGCACGATTTGTCTCGTCATGTTTAAACTCTCGCGAGATAGCCACAGCTGTGATCACCTTGAAGATGGCCCGCTGGATGGCAATCATGGCAATGAGACCAAGCACCGTATTGGCCGTGTTCCAATACTCAATGTACCAGAGGAATTCAAACACGGCAAACATGCCTACCACCGCAAGCGTATGGGCGATACCGGCCATGACACTGCCGAACTTTGCGCAGCAAGAGTGCAAGGCAGGGCCAAAGAAGAGTGAAATGAAGAAGATGATCAGAAGCACAGCGGCGTTCCATGCAATGGGGACCAAGGAAATGATGGCCAAGCGCGCGATACCGCCCTGGAATCTGTTGTCTTCAAAGGTGAGACCTGGTGCAGGGAAACTCTTCACGTATGAGTACGCCACGGAGAAGATGACGGCCATCGCAATCGGACCAAGGATCTCGTGGAAAAGCATCGTCTTCCAACCAGCGCGGGGAAGATCAGCGACGAGCTTCTCACTCGGATGACCCAAGCGCTTTTTCTTGTAACCGGTGACACGAGTGCGACTGAGACGGCAGTATCCAATCCAAGAGTTGGCATGGCTGCGGCTGTTACCACGACCCATCCAGCGCAAAAATTCTCGGTAATCAATGATAAAGTCCGAGAAAGAGAACTGGTGCGGGTTGAACAGGAACGGCGCAATGCACAAAGAAACCAGACTGATCCAAAAGTAAATCAGATGTGGCATCCAAACCGTCAAGGTAGCATAGAACAGCATCAACATGTACCGGAAGCCCGAGTAGATAGAGGGGCCAGCGAAGCGCGAGTACAGCAGGGCAAAGCTCAAGCGAGTGGTAGCAAAGCCACGGCCAGTCGCAATGTAGCGGGCACCACCAAAGGTCAGATTCGTGATAATCGAGTTAGAGTAAATCTGAGTCGTGAAGATTTCAAACAGAGGACTCAGAGAAACAAACTGTTTCATCAGACGAATGAGAGCCGAGATGGCACCACGCTCGGAGAGCTCCTGGAGGAAAAGTGGCAAGAAGGCAATCATGAACACGAGCAAGATACTGATGACTGTACGCTGCACCCAGTATCGCACAGGGTTCAAGTAGTAGCAAGTGCCCGTTCCCAGCACATATGTAATGCCATTTGTGTCAGGGCAGGGCTCCAGCGTAGAGTACAGCGAGCCGATAAACATGAGGGAGAACATGAACAGCTGCACAGCGAGAATGACCATGATATTGTTAATGTGGAAACCAGGGTGGCCATAGTAGAACGTCAGGAACCGATCCACCGGGAGCTGTGTACCCAGGTAGTAGTACTCGCGCGAGAGGTTTTGCTCACCCATACCATTGCCCAGCTTGGTGATGAAGTTGAGAATGGTACCGAAACCAAGATCACGACCCTTACCACACTGGTAGTACTCGCAGTGTTTAATACGACCACCGCGCTGGAATACCATCATACCCGCATAGATATCCTCGTTCAAGTGCAGTCCTTTTTGTGCTTTTGAGACACCGCCACGCGTAGTCATGTACACAGAGTTTAAAAAGTCGGGGTGGCCATAGTGGAATTTACCGCCAATCTGTGCCATGCCACGAGCCGCAAGTGTACCAAAGGTCTGCTCCTTGCCAGCAGCCACATCACCGAGAATACCAATGTTTTCCGAGAAAATGTACTCTTTCGAGCCGACAATGGCAACAGGCGCTTTGTCAAACACATGGTAGGCAGGACCGTAGGGGTTCTCAGTGGGCATGTCGATCGTCTCAAATTCGGAAAGCACATTACGAATCTTCAAACACTCTTCCAAATAGTTGTCCTGGTTCGCATCGATCAGCTGCAAGAATTCACCACGGTGGAAGATGATGGCGTGGTTCTGGTTGTCCGACTTGCCATCACCTAGAATCGGGTTGCCTGGCAATTCAATGCGGAACTTGGGACGCCGGCGACCTGTCGGAAGCATCTCCGAGTGACCATCCACCAAGGCAGAGAACCAGCGGGATTCACCGCCCTCCTTCACAGGCGGCTCTTCGTCCAGGTAGGCAATCAGCAGATCGGGATAAGCACGGAGCAAAAACTCGGTGTTCTCAATCTCTTCCTTGTTGAATCGTGAGTAGCGCTGCATCGAGATCACAAACTTAAACTTGCGACGACTCATGCGCTCCAGCTCGCGCTCCAAACGCTCCGTGTTGCCGCCAAACAGCTGGACAATTTCGGGATTCTCCACACGATAGAGAAGCTTGATCGCCTTGTTGTAGTTCATAAAGCCACTGACGGTACGGTATAGAGTCTGGGCACGCAGCGATGACCAAATACGTGTACGCAGGGTATACTCAGGCGCAGCCGACTTAAAACCAATGCAGTAGAAAGGCAAATCATCGGTCCGGCCACCCTTACCCGGCGCCTTCTCCTCTTCAAAGCCAAAAGGTGCACCGCCAGCAAAATTGCCCGACTCTTCCGCGAGAATCTTGGTGTCCTTCACAAAGTTGTCCCATTCCACAGGGTGCAGCTGCTTCAGGTACTCAAGCAAAGTCACACGCGTGTTCTGGTCTTCCTCACGAATAATCTCACGCAAAGACAGCAGGATCTTCTCACCATAGTGAGGCGTCAGCACAGAGAAGGTCGGCATCGCATCCACCGGGAGAGGTTCCGGAAACTGTGTCATGAGAGATTGCGCAAAGAAGCTGATACGACGCTCGGCCTCCGAACCCTTAGGATAAAACTCAGGCTTGGGACCTGAGTCCATCTGGTTAAGGAAAAACGGCGGGGCGCGCAGGGTGCGCTTGTAGGGTGAATCTTCGGCAGGGGCTTGGTGGTACAACAGGCGCTGCACATGGTCGATCGACAGCAAGTGCTCACGGTACATGGAAATGATGATGGCATTCCAGACCTGAGAGACAAGAACTTTGGGCTTGTACTTGATTTCCATATCCGCCGTAGCGAGTAGCTTCGAGTAGATCCGCTTCGGCAGACGCTGGAAAATGTCGGACCACGGCGTCCACACAGAAAGACCAAGGTAAAAGGCCCAACCAAGACTGAACACGGTGCTCCAAACGACATACCAGAGGAATGTGTCCAGGAAGAAGAGGCACAAGTCCATGACCATCATCGCAGCAAGAGCAAAGTTGGGCTGCAGCGAGCACAGAACCGTGCCAAAGTACCTATCATGACACTGTTCCACGCGCATATCCACAAGCACGGCGAATGGATCCTTAAATGACAGGGTCAAGAAGAAGTAACTTTCTGTGAGCTTGCACCCGAACACAAGAATCCAGAGCAAAAACGAAAAGAACCGGCGAGACATCGGCATAGGCGCAAAGGAAGCCGTGAAGGTCTGGTTGGCAAGATATTTGCGTTTGTTCAGAGCCACACGGTCACCAAACAGACGAGACAATGGCATGAGGGTGAACAACGTCGTCAACAGTACAGATACCACCATCTGCACAATCGAGATAATATAGCCCACATTGCCATCCTTGTTGAAACCAAAGATGTACACAGCCGGAGCAATCATCAGAGCCATACAAATACCCAGGAAAATCAAGCGACCGATCA